GATTTACTCAAAATCAATGTGCCTTAACCCGTCAGTACGTGTGAAAAGACTCTCATAATATGTTGTTTCACTTCCTCATGATTCTTTCCCTTACCAAAGAATACAAAAGAAAGTTCAATTTAGGGACAATGAAATTTAGGGCATAAAGTTTTCATAAATACAACAGCTTTTGTACAGTGATGACAGTTAGAGTTCGCCTTAGGGCCCAGAATTCATGTTTTTCCGATAAGCAGTTACGGTGAAAGACTCGAGACCAGACGCAAATGCTCGCCGATATTGTCGATAATATCCTGATCGTCTGCGATCTCGATTTCTAGGATCTGGAAAAGTGGAAAAAATGAGAGAAATTAAGTCGGTACACTGCATTATCATCTTTTAAAAAGTGAAAGTAATTACTAGGCACCCATGGAAGCCACAGAATTTATCTAATCAGGGACTTTGGCGACCCCTTGGTAAACAGGGACTGATAACTGTGCGAATATTTGAGCTGTTTATCCCAGAAAATGCATTAGAGGACATAAGACTTAAACTTATTTTAGTTGGGGTCACTTGGCTCCCTGTTCTTTTTACTCAGTGATAGAGGTGAATTTACGTCAAGCTCACAAACAATTATTCTTCACTTCGGCCGAAGGTAGCCTCCATGGTCTAGCTGGGTCATCCTCAATAAATCCATAAACTGGCGTAATACAGAGTCCGGGAAATGAAAGTTTTACCAGGTAGAAAGTGATTTCGAGGGCATATGAGGACCACATAGAGCACAGTATGAGGAGTTCGGGTAAAAGAGAATAACCTATGTCAAGCGATCCTGATTGTGGGAGGAAACTTGCCATTTTCGTTTTGTTTGGAAGCTGACAGTTGCATGGAGATAAGCACTCAAGCATAAAATAGTTTTACCATCAAAGCCAATTACATCAAAATAACTCTTTGCACATGTCCTCCAATAGGAGCAAAATTTTCTTTGCGTTATCAGTGCAGCCGCATGTCTGATACCAACCAACATGGTATAAGGTGGGAGCTTTAGTCAATTAAAAACTAGTCTGGGTTCAGGTCTAGTGCACGCAAGGTATGTTGAGGGTTGTCGCCAGCTGTTGATGGCAGATAAGCTGGAAACACCCATTTCAGCACTTCTTTCTTTCTAGGTATGCTTTCTATCAGCACTTCAATGCATGCTGAAAAATATTTTCTTAACCTCATACTCAGAACATACGGTAGCTAATATGCGTTTGAAGATCGTTTCTAGCCCAGTCGACACGAAGTTTCACGTCGATATACTCCTACCTCTCAATACTCTCTTATTGAACGCATA